GTTTGACAGCCAATTGGACGCGTTCTCTCATGACATGTTTCTGCTTAGTTGCAATCGACGGTATATTGTTCATGTGCTTCGAAATGCTTCGAAATTGCTTCGAACTTCGAAGGCTCGAAGCCTCTTCAAAAATCATAATTAAGAATTTTTTGATGAATCGCCGCTGACTGATATAGCAGCAGTCCATATGCAAATCCCGGGCGTTTGTCCCCGGGGTTAATTTTCAAAATACAAATGTAGGCCAAATCCCCGGTCTCCAGGGCGTGATTTTAAAACAAATTCTGTGCCATGCCCGGGGGTTGCCCGTGAGTTGCCCAGGGGTTGACCCCCCGGGAAAGCCGCTGATACCTGCATAATTAATTCCTATATGAAAAGCAAAACAGCAAGGACAGAATTTTGTATGGACTTCAGACCTCAAAGAACATAGTCTGAGCTCTACATCTACCGGTACAGTGGAACTATGACATAAACCCATTGAGCATCAGCGCTCACCCCTTGATGAGTATAAATTAATCTGGCATTAGACAGAGTAAAATAATAAACGCTACTAACTCTTGACGAAGGGCCTTCTCTCGAAACGTCGAGTTTCTGCTTATTTTTTAAGGTAGTAATATATAACCACTCAGCACAGAATTTTTAAAATAATAAATTATACCTTCAAAATTTGCCCTCCATCAGGATAACGACCCAATATATTTACAATATGATCAGTTAGCGGGGGTTCTTTCTGACCAAATGGTTTCTTAATACCGGTATCTGAAAAAGGGTAAAGATAATTTAATATTGTTTATAATTGCAGTCTTTGTAATTCTTTGAAGAAAACATTATGTCTTTTCATTCTATGTAATTATAGAATATGGAAATAATAATGATTTATAATGACAATATTTCCACAAGGTGGCTCTTAACCTGCCATAACTAAATAAATACATTATATAATAATTATTGTTATATATATTATAGTTTAAGTGTCAAAGTTCAATTTTTCTGTTTGCCAATTGGTCAAACCCTATTCACATGCCGGTCCACACAAAGTCATGTTTACTGCATGCTTTGGCAAGGATCGAGGCAACCGGTCAACAATGAAACATTTATAATTTATTGACTGGTCAACAATAGAATGGGTGCATTAATGCACATGCGTGTCAACCATGAAGTTCCAAAGTTCATTTTTTAAACGTTTCATTAAACATTTACGGCATTCCATTTATCCAGTTTTGGTTCTATATAACAAAACACTCATTTTTTCTGATCAATAAATAGGAGCTCATCCATTTCATGAGAAGATGCTAATAAGTTAAACAAATTAAAGCTTAGTGCCCAGGCCTCTTATGGTGAGAGCCAACTGAGCTATAAATGTTAGTGGATGTTTTATATTATGCGCACTAATCAAGACTTCGGGAAAGCAGTGTGTTTTGTGGCCCCTCAACCGCCATTGTTGCCCTCGATTACCTCGGTCAACAACCTCGGTTATATTTGCAAGGGGAGTATTAAAAAGGGCGGCAGCTGAATCCTAAAAGGCCCCTTTTCTAAGGGATTACACTCTCATATAAGCACTATAGCTAGAAGGGAAGTTATGTAAACAAATAACTAGAATTGAGAGATGTGTACCATACTAAAAGTCTAAATCTTGGGTTGATAATGGGGATGTGCCAGATAGTGTTTTGCTGGATACTAGATCATACTGAATAGTAGTATACCAGATAATAATCAGATGCTAATTGTAATACTCACTAAAGTTTTCCCATATTTATTGCCCATTACTTTACTAATTCACTATGTGCCTATCTGTTTATAATAAACAATATTTATAAGCATAAATATCGGGCTAGTAGTATACCAGATAATAATCAGATGCTAATTGTAATACTCACTAAAGTTTTCCCATATTTATTGCTCATTACTTTACTAATTCACTATGTGCCTATCTGTTTATAATAAACAATATTTATAAGCATAAATATCGGGCAGCAAACTGAGCAAAGAGCAGGTTTCATACAGCATTTCCAGTAATTGTTCCTCACTTAATTCTTCTCCCACAATTTCTTATTAAACGCACAAAAAAGATAAGAAAACACTTTCTCGGTTTCATAGTTGTAATACGTGATTCCTTGAATATTTACCTTTACCAAGTGGGCGTACGAGATTTCGAAATCGCTTGATTTCCGGAGCTGATTTCTGTTGATTTCAATACTGATTTCAAGATTTCCTAAAATTCTGTCTGGAGCAATTTGAAATCAGAATATCTCGAAAACTATGAAATATAGTCGCAAAAACGACGCAATTTCCCCCAATATTCAAGCCTTTCGCTGGCACTTTTGTACTTTAATTCTGATTTCGAAATCATCTGCGAGATTTCTGCCTGGGACCCTCGCCTTTATAAATATGCAAGAATTTACTGTAAGCGATATTTACTGTATAAGCGATATTTTTTGCAAAAATATGTAAAAATAGCTAATTATAAATACATACATTGTAACTATACTATAATATACACAATGTAAAAGTGTATTGAGAACTGAGAAGTTTAAGTAATCATTCAAAAAGCTGACCAAACAAACATACCAGCAGGTTCCGCCATTGTTTAGTTTTGGAAAGACGAAGACGATTGCATGTCTTCACTCTTCTGTAGTCTGTAGAAAACGTCTCCCGGTGTATCGACAGAACAGCTTACATATTTTCAAAATTCCTGCGAAGTGACCAATTTTTTGCAAGAGTCTTTCAGTGTAAAATCTTGCAGGCCTTTCAAATAAATATTGTAATATCCCACAGCATGATAGTGACGCTATTTAAACACACCTTTACCCCACGTGGCTTTTGCCCGACAATTCCAGGAAAATTCTGTGGAATACGCAGAAAGACCAGTGAGAAAGAACGGAAACGGTTTTGAAAACCGGAACTTAGAAATTACGGGTCAAGGGCGCTTTTATACAGGGTGTATAAAAAAAAGCGCAATCCTCGACTGAAATGTAAATTGCTAAACAAATAATAGACGAAAACGTTAAAGTTTACATTCATTTTAAAGCGTAGCCATTCAGCTTTCTAACAGTGGGTTGTTTCTTAAATTTGACTCATTGGTTCGCGGGTAATAATCATTTACGTTATTGCGATTGGAGATTAAAAAAATTGAGATGGAATAACAAATCGTTCTCATGAAAATAACTGATTTTTTCATTAAAACAAAAAAATGTTGCATTTTATTAAATGGATTGTAACAATAAGTATAATTACGGCTTTTCTTCCACTATTTTTAACTCAGTTTGAAACTTCAAATGCGATATAATTTTGGCTTGGACCATCTAAGCTGACTGACATCAACTTGCTATAATTTCTGTTTACATTACATCGCAATTCGATAACACTCTGGCTCAGACACCAGAATGTTTTGACGATTTTTAGCATTCGTTTAGGATTTTCAAACAACCTGGTCTCTTTTAAAATACTTTTAATTTGTTCTTACGTGGTTTTTCAGATGTATAGTGACGACAACATTAAAGTTTAAAGAAGAAAATTCTAACATTTAAACCGACTAAACAATAACATAGTAAACTTGCATAATTAAACAGCAACTAAAAATGATAGGTTTTACTAAATCTGTTCCTGTGCAATTATTACTAGCATTGGAGACAAGGATAATAGTTTGTTTGAAAGAGCAAAGAACAGGCTTTGAAGTAAACCTAAAAGCGTTTAACTAGAAATAGTATTTCGAAAGTTATTAAGCACAAAAGATGAATTGCGTTTATTTTGATACACCCTGTATATTAAGGGTGTCTAAAAAAGTAACCGTTAGAAGTTATTGTTATAATTTGAATGCCCGAGTCCAATACTTAACCCATGGGCACGTGCGTAAAGATTCGAATTTTTAGTTTCGTTCAACATATGAATATGATTTGCTGATTAATTTACTATTACGCAGAGCGTAAAACAGTAAAAACTCTTTGCTCTGTAATCAGTTCAATGAACCATTTTTAATCGGGACTGACGGGACTAATTTTATGCCGTATTATAAATATGCTCGTACGATTACAATGCATTCTAAACTCCCAGAGGTAATAAAGTTTGGCTGTTTACAACAAAAGGTTGACTTCTAAAGGGTCACTTTTTTACGACACCCTGTATAAGCGTCCTGCCAGAGCCAAAAAATGATCCAGTGGTACGAGATTGGCATGAGGAACGCAAATTTCCAGACATTTTTTTAGTTTGGTGCACCGCATGCAAATTTAAAATTTTGCTTTAACGAAATATTGAAGTTGTTGATTCGATCATTCAATTTTAACCCCTTGTTTTCAAGTTTAAATAATGCTAACCTGTGCTAACTCCTAGTATAATTTCCTATTCTGTCACGAGTAGAAAGTAAACAACGGATGGTATATATAAAGCCTCACTTACGCCCGTATTCTATATATAAAAGCTCACTCACACCACAGTTAATAGAAGAAGGCCTTCTTCTATCAACTGTGCTCAAACTCCCGATCACACTCAATAAGTGGAGGTTCAATCTGAGCTTCTCTTGAGTGCCAGTGCTGTTTTTGAATAGCCACGAATAGCTGAAGGGTGACTAGTAGTCACATAGTAAGGTACGACACTAACCCTACACTACAGCTATTCAAAAACAGCAATGACACTCGAGAGAAGCTCAGATTGAACTTCCACTCATTGACTGTGTTGCAGAGCATCGTTATATCTCTGCAACAAGTAAAGTTCATAAAGACTGATTTGCATACACAGCATATGATACACAGCCATACCACATGATTGATAAATCCAAACTATTGATAGTCACATCGTCGAAAATAACTTGGTAGCTTTCGACCGCGCTTCAGTCATCACCAAAAACAGTGACTTTTCTAAGGAATTTTCACTGGGGAGGCAAGACGAATTTGTATACTGTCTCGAATTCGTCCAAGCCACCCTGTGATGTCTGTGATAAGAAGTTGAAGTCACTGAACTCAGAAATCTGTACATGTGGATTTACTATTCAGTAATTCTATAGAATCGATGTATATATATTTTAAAATTAAGCTCACGTATAATCATTATCATCGTGATCAATATTAAAGATCCAGATCTATTTCTAAACTACAGTTAAAATTGTTCAATAATTGTATCAATTGACTATTACATTTGGCATGACATAGGCGTAGCCACGGAGGGGGGATGGGGTCCGGACCCTGGGAAACTGAGAGGGGGGCGTAGCCTCTTACTGTCGTTCCAATTGAAGTGTTGCTCAAATATTGATTCAATACATTACCTCGGGCTGACCAATTCATTTCATCAAGTTCCTCGAGATATTCATACACTTCCTAGTATAATTGTAAACTTCCTGTTGAATAGTCTGAATGCACCAATCACCTTTGTTGTTTGTGCAACTAACCAATCATAAATAGAAAGGAAGTGACCAGAAATTATCAAATACTTGGAATTGGCTCTTTCACAGGAAGTGTATGAATATCTCGAGGAACTTGATCAAATGAATTGGTCAGCGCGAGGTAATGTATTGAATCAATATTTGAGCAACACTTCAATTGGAACGACAGTAATTTCATCTATGACATAAAATATACCAAATCTGTAGCTTTCAGATTATCATAAAATGTGTCAATGTATGAAATAGCATTTCGTAGATCCTAGAAATAGAAACATTTTCCATGGTACCATGCCACCGGATAGCCGGACGATTAGACCCCCACCCCCCTCGTTTGGGTTGCCTACGCCCCTTTTCGCTGATCATTTCACTGATCATTAAAAACTGAGGCAACAAAAACAATCAAAAGATTTTGGTGGTTCAGTGAATTACATCTCTTTTGCTATGGCAGGCACTGTATACGACTTTACTTTGCTGTTGCAGTATGTATTATACTTGTTAATAATACAGCGAAATAACATAGCCGAGACTAAACTAAATAACTACAACTCAACGTATACTACAATTTATGAGCTATTACTATACAGTAAACGTTACAAGGCAACAGATGGTGGTAAAACTTTAGAAATGTTGACAATTATATAGGAGCAATAAAATGAACTAGATCTCTCAATTTGCTCTCCAAGTACAAGCCAACACTGTTATATGATGAAAAATTGAAAACAATGAACATTTTCTCACTCTGATAACTGCAAGCTGATAAACAACGGATCGCCCCATAACTATATATGAATAAGCTTTGTGATTCGTTCAGTATGTCAATAAAAGACAGTGAACAATCAACTTTATAAAGAATGAAACACTGATAACTTTTGTTTAAGAAAGCCAATCAGGAAACGTGTTCCTATTTGGTAAGTACATCCCGGCACCATCTGCTGCAAAATAGCGTGTTTAGTAAAAACCAATTATTAATCAAAGTCGACTATTTAGAAGTATATTAAAAAAAGTTTAAAAATTTCGCTTAGTCGCCACTGTCGAGAGCAAATTTCTTCAAAGCTGTGTACACTGTTTCAGCAGCTTCCAATGCTTCTTTGGCTTGTTCTTCGCTATATTCTTCCGCGGGAACTTTGTATTTCGGTTGATTATCAGGATAGCGGGTTGGCAGGTAGTAATTTGCAACTTTACTGGCACGGTCTACTTCATTGGGCGCTCCTTTGACACAACGTACCTAATAAAAAACAACCTTTATACTTTTTGTAAATACTTAGGTAATATGGTTGATTAGTTACCGTGTATAAAGATGTTATAATAATAATAAAAATAATAACGTACGGAAGATGCAAGCTGGCCGATTTTGTGCGTACGCAATTCTCGTCGTGGTATACCACATTTGGCGTATAACACACCCTTCAAGACTTTCTCGACGCATTGTTGGCTCAGGAAACACACATGTGAGTAGGATTTGTCAAGAAACATCTTTGTGGCATCCAAATCTGCCTTTGACTGTTTGATCCATCGTTCCGCTTCGGCGGCATCCGGTTCCACATATTCCGAAGCTTCGTGAAATCTATATACGCGGCGGTGGGAGCCAGAATAGGACGAGCCAGAATGGGAACCATAATAATCTTCAGAGTATTCATCATCGAACATCCAGTGATTATAACCATTAAAAATATTTCTCTCTCGTCTTCCACGTCCTCTCCAACGTGTGAATACTTTAGTTTCTGAAACACGTAAAATCTCTAGTCTTATAACTTCATTTTCAATAAATGTGGTCATCTCAGCTGCAACGTCGGAGTCCTTGCACCGAAACCAATGCAAAAAGAGTCTTCTAAGCACCTTACGTCGCTGTAAAAGTGTTTCCAATTTTTTGGCCAAAGTTAAAGCTCGACTGATATTAAATTTTTCCGCGAAAACGTTCACTTGAGTTTCAACAATATCGTCTGAAACAAGATTACCCATATCGTCTTGATTGTAACTGTAAATATCGAGAACACTGACAGTTTTGAATTCAGTTTTGCTACCAAAATCGATTTTGTATTGGGCGTTGAAGTCGTATTCTCCGGCAGCTTTATCAATGGCGTTAGCACGTGCCAAGATCTTTGCCAACGTGTACTTGGTTGATTCCTCCGCTTGCTCGCCCTCCTTCCAATTTTTCTCACTACCTGATGGGAAAAAAACGGCAAATGTATACAAAATTTTAATAAAATGGGCCCTGAATCAGTAATAAACACTGGAATGTTTTTAAAAATCCTTATTACACATGAAATAGTATGGATCCTTGTGGAAGTACTAAGAAAATCCAATTTTCAAAATACTGTGAATCTACATTAGATTTAGTGATGAAAATATTATTTCCATATTTTTCCAGTGTAACCTTTTTACTTAATAAGAAGAGCAAGATTAAATGAATTAAACTTCGGCATGTAAGTGGTTTTGTTCATCATGTCGTACTAATAATACGAAAAATACTCTTAAGTAAGATGGTGCTAGCTATGGAACTCTATTCCAAACGAAATTATAAATAGAAATGCCTGAAACTAGATCGTATACTTTGTAAATAGCTTTAAAATGCATATTAATAACGAATGAATGAAGAACATTGAAAAGAAATGAATGTTTGAAGGGAAATTAAACTATTTAATAACTTCTTCCACTGATTCTTCATATCTTGCTTAGTTCTTCAAATATTTTCACTTGAAGTAATGAGACGTCACAACAGGGATTAACCATGTAAAATTATTCGTTGCTGACCAAATATTGATTGGTAGATGTTTTAAAGGTTTTTATAAGTGATCTTGATATTTCCAAGAGCACACAGAGTATAACTTTGGGTGCAAAATTATTGGTGGTTGTCTAGATAAAAATATTGCGTGACCCATGTTGTGACGTAATATGCATATTTACAAAAATCCAAGATGGCGAACATTTAATTTCTTTCGATTAAAATATTTGTAGAAGTAAGCAAGATATGAAAAAACGGTAAAAGAGTTTTATATATGGTTTTAAATGTTCTTTCAAACAAGAAAACAAAAGAATATATTGCCATTTCCCTTTAATCAATATCTGTAAATTACAGATTTCGTCGTAATCTATGCATAAACTCTAGCTTCAATTTTCTCGGCTAAAACGAACTCGACTTTATTAAATTACTAGGGCTCTCCTTTTTTAGCGTGGTAAATAAATAATTTATCTATATATCTATCTATCTTACCTTCGTCCTTGCCGTAAGCGACACGAGTGCCTTCCTCGAAATGACACAGCGGATTTTGAATCATGAGATAGTGATAGACATTTGGAACAGGTTGTCCTAACTCTTCGCTTTCTTCGTTGTGGTCTATCTTCACGTTATGGTCGTTAAGCACGCCTGGTATTTCTGAAGGTGAATCACAAGACAGCATATCGGCTAGTTCCAACATCCCTTTCAAGCATCCGTCCATAATTTCGTTCACAGCTTTCGCAAAGATTCCTTGGTTTTTTCGTCCACCGAATTCGTGTTGAATATACAGTGTCCACGAGTTCTCTTCCTTTTCGACATGACACGGGCGATCGACCGAGCTCTGTCGTAACGGTGTAGTTCTCGCCACGTCAACAAGGCGGATTTGTACTTGTCTCATACATTTGATCACAGTGAGCTTTAAAATAAAAATAGGAAAATGTTTAAAAGCATTAACCATGAAATCTCACATTTTTATCAACTCATTACCTCGGGTCGGTACGACACCGAGGTCATAAATTCGGCTTCTATTTTTTCCCCATTTTGTGTCGAGCCGCGCGCGTAGCAACCTCGTTCCCAGGCTCTTCCCTTTTGTTGAGGTTCGCCAAAGCGAAACGGAACCCGAAGCTGTCCTTGCACAAAATCCGTCAAAATTGTTGATTTAAAACCAGAAGATGTGATAATTTTGACATACATGTTTAGCTGGATAACTATTCTCGAGTATATGTTGATATAATGTACAATACTTCGTATGCATAGCATGGGAATACCGCGGCCAACTTTCACTTGTTTGATACTGCTAAGCATTTTATGGATGGTTCTTACTGTAACTGGTAGACAACAATTTTGCCAACTGTCCACTCATTACATTCTTCGACTGTGGTACAACTATTACTATATAATGATGCCGGATCAGTTATATCTGAAGTGACTGTCGTTCTGCTATGTGCAATCAACAAATATACTGATAATATTGTCTGTTAGTGTTACTAAATACAAGATGAAGTGGTGAAGTAGCTATGTATATCATTCACTCGTCCACAAAATATCCCAAATAATGAATAAATACAGTTAAATAATTGCGTCAGTAAATTCTCTAAATTGTTCCTGTATTTAACTATTATCAATAAAATGTTAAAACGGAGCTTTGATTGACTGATTCACCATTTATACTAGTGAACTATTAAACTATCGTGATTTACACGATTTTTGCATATTTACCAGACGATGCCCTATCCACCGACCCGAGGTTAACGCCGAGCGGGCGTCTTGTTTGGGTTAGGATCAGGGTTGTGGTCATTTAGGGCTGCATTTAAAATTTTTTTTTTTTCATATGTAAACTAACTAAAAAAATAGCTCACCTTGGTGGAGGTAAATCGCGCGGCTCTTGCTCTATCCTCGTCGTCAAGAGTGGATATCTCCTTCTGATGTTTCAACAGACGCAGTATGCCGTGTTCAAATTGTGAGGATCGTAAAACCAATATAAACTTCTGAATAAACGAACAATCCATCTGCGTGCAGTAAACACAAGTCATGTTCTTCTTACAGAATGGATCTATCTCTTCGTGTACTAAACTGCTCAATGGTGTTGGTCGAAGTCGTTTTGGAAGAGAATTTAAGTAGGCGTCTTCCAGCTCTCTTTTCAGCCCGCATTTTTCAAGAGGATATAAAATCTCGTACCCTTGCATTGCTACTGACTCGCGAAGCCGTGGTTGCATTTTACACACCAATTTGCTTGATTTAACGAGTCGTTTTTTCATGCTTGGTAGATTCAATTCCTTGCAATTTGACAGTTTTGACTCGGCTTCAGTTGAATCACTGCGAAGTGATTCAAACAAGACAGAAGTAGCAAAACATGCTTTTTCTTCCTCTTCAGAATTCATCGCATCCTTCGTACACGAGTCTTTAATTGATTTGAGAACATTAGCCATTTGTGAGGGAGTTATTTTTTCCGTAACTCCAAGCCTTTTCAAAAGATGTTCATACTGGACATAGTCCCTAGGAACCATATGAAAATGTGGCTTCAACTTCTCTTCAGGGTCTTCAAAAGACAACCTTTCGCCTTTTACCAAACACCGTTCTTTGCTGAGAAGTATGCAAGCAACAGGAGTTAAACACTTTCCAATCTTCTGACATTCCTCATTGCAATGTGAGGAAGGCAGTTCTGTGGCACAATTCCGCACTAACCCTTTCAAAAAATCATAAATTTTTTTAAACACCTCAGTAATCTTCTCTGGCAAGGTACAATCAGCCATAAATATTTCCAAAGCACATTTGGAAATTATTTTCACGTGTTCAATCACAGAATCAAGCGGTGGCTTCGATGGGATTCCCAGCCGATGATCAAATTTAGGATAGGCCCAGTCGGGTAGAAGCTTCTTGCTGGTCCAAACCAAGTGCCTATCTTTCCACGGCACTGATTCGCGGTACGAAACAAATTCCAACTTTCCATTCACACAATATTGGGGATGAAGAGAAGAAAGCTCATTTTCTACTTTCTTAGGCACAATGAACTCTATGTCAGAGATAGTGTGGTGAAACCAATTCCCACCATTTTCTAACAAATATTTCACGAGAGCCTTGGACTGAGTAATAATGTTCTGATCGTATTTGGACATGCGCAGTGCGGATTCTTCTACGCCTCTTGCAAACGTACTGAACTGCTGTTCGTCGCAATTTTTCTTTAGCCCAATTTCTACAAGGAAATCAATCCACTCTCTTTCGTTAAATGGAGCTATTGGGAAAACGTTATCTTTTGGTTTAAGCATCACTTTAAATAACTCGTCATGTGGATTGAAATAGCTTGAAGCGGCACGAAGGTTTCCACTTTGGTCCGGAATACAACTTGTGGATCGCAAATTCATTTTTAAGTCCCCTGTCATGAAGGATGGCTGCGTATCTTTGATATTAGCTAGAAATTCTATCTGACATTTTTGGGTAAAGGATGAGAAATTTGATAGTACATAATTGATGTAAAAGTGAGAGATACCGCAGTCCACTTTAATTCCGAGGGCCTGGTACAGTAGATGTAAGTCGGCTGAAAGTAATGGTGGCAGAAACAACATTTTTCTTCCATAACATATACTTTGCAATTCCTTGATCCCATCTTTTGGCAATCTTGTTGGAACTTGGATGTAGGAATCATAAGACGAGAGCGAGTGATATTTCCCATCCACGCCTTTGTAAAAGGGCAAAGTCTTTGCTATGATCATAGACATTTTGTTTTCGCAGTCAGTCTCAAAGAATCTCAAAAGAGTGTTGATCTTTTTTTCATCAAATTTGCTCATGTCAAGTGTTCCAGTTGAATTCATGTAATCAAGAACATGCAGTACATCAGACACGCAATGTGGGTCTGCGACTAAAGGACGGACAAGAGACAAAGCCTCTTTCGTGATGGATTTATCTAAGAAAGGACAGGCTAGGCTCTTGAGTATTAATGTTACTTGCTGTTGAAGAAAACTTCCTTTCTTGTCGTTACTCACTGTCAGTACTGACTTGGCGTAATCAACTGTTGCGAGTTTTCCATCTATCGTTGGAATAATAGGGTACTTGCCAAGATGAAATTTCACAAGACAGATCGACTGATTTGTACTGTTATCGTTCTCAGATAGGAACTTCCACAACTGGATGAACCATTCTTTGGAAAGAATGCCTTTTTTCGAGTAATTCCATGGGACATGTTTTCTTTTACCTAACTGTAAATTCTCACTAAAAACATCGGGCATAAACTCGGTGGCCAATGACTCGATAGTAAGATCACGAATAACATCAGGTTCCAGTCCACAAAATGTTGATAACAGTGGAACAAAATCAAGTTGAACAAACTTGAAAGCTTTGTCCGGAAACAATTTGCTGAATAATGAACAATACACAGGACTTTCTGAAGTGAAAGCTCTCAACATGTTGTCATCAGTCAACAGAAGTGGTAACCCTTGGAGATTTTGTGGAGTTTCTTCGAGCACCTTCTCGCAATATTCAAGAATACTTCGTAAACCGAGTTTGTTTTGAATGTTGGAACTATTCAGTTGGATTGGAAGTTTTCCAATGTTGCATCTAGAGCTTTTATCTTGCGAGGTCAACAAGAATTCAATGACATTTTCTTGTGTGAGGAGGTGGGATTCAACTTCGGACTCTAACAATGCCTTGTGGATCTTCAATGGCGTGTATAGCAATACAGGCATACGTATTCGCAAAAGTGCATCAAGCAACGACTGTTGAATTTCCCGCTGTTTTTCACTGGTGAAGTAAACAATATTTGGAGGTAGCCATTCAATACGTAATCTGGTAGGTGTTTCTCTTCTCCTTTCATAAACTGTCGTATATCGTGCTGTCCTCGCATGCTCATAATTCGACTCTCTTGCAGAATCTCTAAATCTTGGTCCGTGATAGGAGTACTTGCTAAACGCGTTGCGAAAAGAACCAGTACTAGAAGATGAACTATTATTACCTTTTGGCAAAAATTTGGCATCGGGTGATTCTCGTGATCCACATTCACGTTGTTTATCCTTCTCTGTTGCGACAGTACCACGCGATTGAAAGACCACGGGTAATATTGGAGTTTCTTTTAAATATTGGTAAACTGCCACGGCAAGAATACGCCAACTGGTATCTTCGACAGGATTGGGAAATAAGTTATGATACCAGTTCAAGGCTATCGCAGCGACCTCTTTGCTCGAAAAGTATATTCCGCCTGAATCGTTGTCACAATAAGGAATATATTCTCTTGCTGTAGTAATTAACGACGCATATGAAGGGCCTAGTACTTGCTCTTTCATAAATGCATTCCATTTTGTTTTCCGACAAATTTTATTGGTGTCAGACCACAAATCTCGTCTTGATCCATCAAGTGCGAAGTGTCCATTAACGTGGACTGGTAGAAAGGTTTTCACGGGCAAAGGCAGGAAACAGTAAGCCACATAGTCTTCGATGTGAACACGATTCGATGACAAGAGCGCTGCAATTCCACCACGGGGGAATAAACCAAGATCACAAACATCAGAAGCTCGTTCATCTGTAATTGCGTCTGTTCTAATGCCAGAACTTTGATGAGTTTGTTCAGTTGTCATTGCTTCCGTTTTGATGCCAAACCTTTGATGAATAAGCCATTTTTGCTTCAATTTGCCTGTGTCTTCAATACTGATGGTATACGTCGTGTCTTTAATGGGCACGTCACAAGTTACTACTTTTTTATACTCTTGCAAGTGACGATATAGCTCTGGTAGTTTCTTCTTAAAACTTTGCTCAAGCTGGGAACTCACTGAGTATATGGGTTTCAACTCAGACTTCTTATTGATTTCCCACAAACCAATTTTCTTAACATTATTGAGGAAAAGCAGCAACTTTTTTGCTTCTTTCTGAAAGTTGCTTATTAGTTCCATCATGACGTTATCGGTAACAGGACGCTTCGATATTTCCGAGGTTTTTGATTGCTCATTGGTTCTCAATGGAAGTCGAAACATAGTGGAGCCTTGCAGACGAAAATGGTCACCGAGGTAACCGCTAACTGTATCAAAGAAGATGTCTTTGAAGTCGTGGTCAATGTTGTTGTATCTTCCACCGGGAGCTTCTGGGGTTGCTTCAGGACTATATTCACAATGTGGATCAAGGATACATAGTGTATTATCGTCTGACAGGAAACTTGGACAATCTGTTAAATGGTAGACAGCGTTGAATCCAATCCCATACTGACCTGTTTTTGCAGGGTCATCTCGTTTGCTTCCAATTCCAAGTTTGCAAATTCCATTAAAATCATCTTCGCTGAAATGTTTGTTGTTGTAAACACATAATGCAGGTCCTTGGACTTTTTTCGCGTTGGTCTGAAGGACGCGCTCGTGGGGAAGTATTCGTTTGTCGTAAATAAACTGAATTTCAGTGGCCTTCGCGTCATCTGCGTTCTGAACAAGTTCTTTCAGGATGCCAACATCGCATGGGTACGAATATAGGATGTTCTTTATTCGATCGGTTAGTTTCTCGAATTGGCCAAAAGACATAGACATCGCCTTGCCATACTTCCCTCTTCTTCTATCAAGCAATCGTTTCGCTCCAAGCTTGAGGGCAACGTTTCGGTTTATATCCGAATGAATGTAGCGTTCATTTCCCACATATTTCACATGAAAATTTTCAGGAATTGTAAGATCTTTGCTGTTGCATAAAACACCTTGCGCGTCAGGCAATGGGATGGTACCAACACGTTGTTTTAATAAATCATCCGATTGATATCTCAATTCGTTGATTAAAATCACGACTAGTTTTATATCTTCTGGCATTAGATGCGAATCTTGCTTAGATCCTCGGAGCGAATCCAGTGCTTCAAGAAAATCGCTGGCTGTAAACATCTCCTTGATGCCAGTTAGTTTAAAAAGTTCTACGAATTCTCGTTTGTACTCATCAGGAACACTGTACAGGAACGGCACCGCGTAGCCTTTCCATTCCAAGGCGATCTTCCTGTTCTCTACGAAACTTCCATGTAGAAACAACCACGCCGTATTTTTGAGCTTTGTAATAACAGAGACATCTCGATTCTTGGCTAGTTCGTCATTAAGGAGTTTATAAACCCGTTTGCAAACTGTAATTTTTGTCTTGTTGTCCGCATTTGATTCCCTGGTGATTTCTAACTGTTGCAACACTTGCTGGCAACTTGGACGGCGATGTAAAAAACCGAGCAGATTTCCGAGAACTTCCATACGATCACATCCACTTTGCTCAGTATCGTCCACGATTAAGCAAGATGAGCCAATAAGGTTAACATCTTTCAGCAAGAAAAGGTCATTAGGACTACGGAATTCTATGGTATGAAACTCAGCTCCTTTCCATGGGAGTGTATAGTACACTGGAGCAGTGAGACGCACTGGTAAAAACTTTATATTCCGAAGAAGGTCACTGTTCGACATATCCTCCATCTCTTTCAGACGTTCTACATTGCGGCGAAGGTATTTAATAAGGAATTGAGAGCGTCGTAAAGCCAAACCCTTGTCCTTCATTGCTAGTTTCTCGATAGATTTCGCACGGCCGCAGATTTCTCTCCAACTTAATAGATCGTTAACCATTCCAAGCTTCTCCAGCGCATACAGTTGACTGTCATCTAGCACTCCAGTAGGAAATCGATTTTCTTCAGGCGAATACAACACTGCAATACTTTTGACTTTCGGATTGATCAAATCACACGGTCGTGCAAGCGTTTGGCCATCTGGAGAACATGGAATGCATTCGGTCTTTTTGTACAAAGATTTAAGCTGCTTCCAGCCTACTCTTGATTTCTCTAAGATGTAGCGTAATCCATGGTGCACGATAGGATTTCGCAGGTCGGCTGAGATGAAGGGTAAATTTGGGAACAAGAAACGCTCGAAAAATGACACAAGACTTAAGGTTTGCTTCTGAACAACAGCAGTGATGGAATTTTTCATCGCATTTATAATATTGCATGGAAGATCAAAAACATATACGCCAAGACTTTGCAACGTTTTAACCACTCGTTTTAACTTTCGTAGCTCATCGTCCAAAATATACCCATCGGTAATATTCATCCACTTTCCGTTGCTGTAGAATAATTTCAAATCTCGCTCTACCAGCTTGGTGTAAAAACTTGAAACGACAGTTGTCCATGATGCACCAGAGTTAGCAAAACGTGGCCAAAAATCATGGAACTGTTTATCAAACTGTGGCAAGCGACCACTTCCCCACAAATCCACCATTCTAGAAAGTAGCTTAAAATATGCTTCTGGTATTGCGTCTTGTAGAAGGCAGTCGTTCCATCGAGATTCCATGTTTTCCTCTGCGGTAGTCTTCTCCCAAATTCCATCGCGATTTGAGCGAACGGCGAAGGAGCTGTTAACATGAATTGGTAGCCCGGTGGAAATCGAGAGCGGTAGAAAACAGAAAGCTTCACCTTCGATTTGTTCAGCGGTTAAAATTTTAGTATCCACCATGTTGTTATTTGCGTTGTTTTGAAGTAAAGCTGCAGCACCAGCAAGAGGCAGCAAGCCATCTTTTTGCCCTTCTCGTGCGGCAAACTCAACCGAACGATCCTTTCCAACACAATATGCTACAAGCCAAATACAACTGTTAACTAATGATCTCTTAGTATCGGTAAGTCTTGTAGGATTCTCCGTCTTCACAATTTTAACTTGCTCCAAACGTGAAGGGGCTTCATCCAGTGGTAACTTTTTTTGTAACTTTTTCTGCCACCATTTGGAACACTGCTCAATGTAGGAAGGTACTGACACAGTATTTGTCTTCTGCATTTCCTTATTGATGCAAAGTACAAGAGTTGTGTCTTGAGGATTCCCTGTCGAACCAAGTTCGTGTAGTTCAACATGTTTAACATTTTGAGTAAACAAAAGTAAGAGTGAGGCACTTCGTTGAAGAGTACGAACGATTTCTTTCACTTTTGAAGAATTGTAAACCGTTTGGCAAATTTCGCTTTTCTTTGCTTCACATTCTGTGCGAAAAGGAAACCGAAATAGCGTACCTTGGTAGTGAAACGTCTCACCATTGTTTAAAGCGGTCTTGCATCCGAAGACTTGATTATAAAGAGAAAACTGGTCTGCGAACGCTGTCAAAGGCCTTGAATTCTTGGCGAGATCAATGCGAATTCCGGGTCGGGATTTGTCGCGAATGTGATTTGAGATGTGATTAACATTTGGGTCGAAAAAACACAGGTAGTTTCTACTAATAAAACTCGGTACATCAGTAAGATGATAGACAGCGTTAAAACCAAGTCCAAACCGACCAATCTTTGAAAGATCTTCAACCTTCGTTCCTCCGGCTAGCTTGTTGATATTCTCAAAATCTTTATCTGTAAACACAGAATTATTGTAAGCCCACAGCGCTGGACCTTGGCTATCGATCATGTCTGGGGAGAATAGACTGTCCGTTTTACCTTGCCTCCAATCCACCAAAAACTTGACTGTGGTAGCGCCTGCATCGTCCGCATTTTGAATCAGCTCTTTGAAGATTCCAACTCCTTCTTTGTACTCTTTAAGAATATTCTTGATTCGTGTTGTGATCGGCTCGTACGGTCCCGTCTGCTCGAACTCGATGGACTCTGCCGAGAGTAAACAAGAACTCAGAGAAGGTACGCCAAGGAGTTTAGCCAGTTTAGGTGGTATAGAGTCATGAATAGGATGAAAATCATCTGGAATATCCAGCTCCGTTTTACCATGCTTCAACCAGTCCTGGTCGCAGTACGTACACTTCTCGCATTCTTTTAAAACCAACTTGTTTTCATCACTCTGTACTGGAACAAACACTTTCGCTCGTATATCTTCGCTTAACCTTTGTCCATCGCTAACCAACCATTCAAGTACTGAACGGCAAAAATTTAAATCTTTTTTCAGACATTTGGGAGATTGACTTGATGATTTTTTGTGCGCTTCTTTAATGGCGGCCAAAACCAAAATAATATCATCCTTAGAGAACTGTTCTCGTACGCCGTGGGTTTTAAAAAACCTTGTAAGAGTTCCGCCGTCATTTAATGTATGTGGCAGTAAGAAAAGTGGAGGTCGAAACTCAAATGGCAAATCCTTTTCTAGAGCCATTTGCTTCGGCGAGCAAAACCCAGATCCATGCCAGATCCAATTCACTAGCTTATTCCGTTGAATGGCTTCGGACACGATATCTTGTGAACGCACTTTCGAAAGATATTGATAGATTCCTTGGAGCATTTCATTATATTGAGAATTTGGTCGCTTTTGTTCATGCCAAACGCTGACAACTGTTTTAAGATTCTCAATAACTTTGTTCACATTGACCCATTTCTGAATACCAAGCGAATTTTGGATATCATAATTCATTTTGATGCCGAGTATCGGTGCGGATGTTCCAACGAGGAGTGTGTGGGGCTCACGAAATAATTCGCCTGGTTTATAAAATATTGTTTCACTGCTATACCATTTATTATGCATAATGCTAGGGTATCCCGCTCCAGGAGGATATTTCTTTGCGCGAGGTAGCCATTTGAGTTCAGCCAATTTTGATATCAGTGAAATACCACCGAGATTCATATTAAGAAATTTGGGTCTCTGTTGAAAAATCGTAACCAATGCTTGGACTTTCTTAAGGGCATCTTGGTAATCTGACAAAACAATTATTTCAGCTACACCTAGAAGATCCGATGCGGTGATCATGTTTTGTGCACGAACACCCAACTCTTTTAAGGTTGACATCAGTTTCGAAAACTCTTCTGATGGGAATTTGCTGTCTTCTCCAAGGAATAAATCAGCTAGAACAGGATCATTCGGATCATAAAGTTCACACGGCTTTTTTAGTTCCCCATTTCTTGTGCTAACAAATGACAAATCTTTCATTTCCTTCAGGAATTCCTCGTTTTGTATCTCACATTTTCTTTCCAGAATCCACAACATGATGCTTGTAGTTTCTTCCCGACTGTAAATCGATTGAGTTTGAATGTCAGGAAAGAGAAATCGGCGAAAAATATCGGCCGGCTCGATAGGCTCCAAACCCAGCAAACGAACCAGTTGCAGCGATTTAACTTCGGCAGACGAGATAATTTGGCTCGCTCTGCGAAATTTAAAGCTATTTCGAAGTTTGAATTTGGGTGAAGCCACACTGAGAAACTGTTCGCATACGAAAGCTGCTGTACACCTGCCATCAAGTGTGTTTAATACAGGTAAACGGCGCAAAATATTCTTCTCCTTTTCCGATAACAGTTGTGAAGCAGCAAAAAAGCTTTGGAGTACCATTCTTTGATCTTTGGAACAATTCCTTATGTAGTTTTCTGCAGATTTCATCGACGATTTGCCAAGCATTAACGTAACTTCGGCAGGCACTGGAGATGCTACGTACGAGCTGATATCAGGATGACGCACATGTAAAAGCGTAGAAGTACATGGCAACACAATACAACCAGCAGCCTTGAGTAGTCCAACTACTTGAGAAGGCAGATGCATATTCTGAAAAGAATCTGAATTGAATATGAATCTGGAATTTTTTGAAAGAACGCCGAGTGCTTTCTCCAAATTCGATTGAAACGGTATCAGTGGAATTCCTTGGAACTGCTCAAGAGATTCAAAATTATCATTGATCCAATGCCATATATCATTAATCCATTTCTCAGGCGGATGGCCTGGACGGTCAGGGTTCCAGGACATTATATCTTTCTGGTTTGTTGTATTGAACCATTCATCTGGAAGACTTAAACGCAAACATGCGATGACAAGCTCAGGAGTGAGTGTAACCATCTGTGTCGGGTGGACTTGATCCAATAAATCTGCTGCCATGGCGACCAACTTCTTGTACGTTTTCTTTAGGATTTTTTTGTCTAAAAAGCGATCTTGCATATTTGGCAGCAAATCTTTTGTACAGCTACCGTCTGACACAAAGATGGACGATGATGGGTCAGAATCATGACGGTGTTTGGTAAATGAAACAAATTTACCAGATGCCAAAGGAAGAAGAGGGATGGCGCTAAGTTCTTGTGGCTGTGGGTTATCGTGCAAAATGTAGTCAAGCAACGACAGTTTATCATCATGGGATGCTGTCTTGATAAAATTACTTCTAAGAAAATTTCTAACAAATTTCGAGGTAATATCTTGCCTTTCACCGAAATATTTCTTTACCATTTCCCACACATGACTAGGCAAATCTGTTATTATTACTTTGGAATTTCTCAGAAGTGTTTTGCGGACAGCGTTTCTGGTCTTTTCCAACACGTCAGCTTTTCCCATTTGATCCAGGAGTCCTTCTTGTAGAGTTATCCAAGATGTGCCCCTCAAGGATTGAGCGTGGAATAGATTTAGTTGTCTTAACTTTTGAAAAAGAGGGTCTAGAACACAATTCCAGTGGCCTATAACACCGTTTAATTTTGGCACAGTAGAGTACACAAGTTCACGTCTACGTCTCTCGTTCAAACCAGTGATTGGGCAATCTGTGATGATTGATTTAAGAGCGTTGTAGATGACAGCAGGTAAGATTTTCTTTACCAATAACACATTCCATTCTGCAGTTTCGTTACTTTGACATTCGCCACCAGGCCATAGAAGACCACGTCTGTTATCCGTCACTCCAAACGCGCCATGCACCAATACAGGTAGACCGGTCTGACAGTCTACATCATGTGGGAGGGGTAGAAAACAGAATATACGACCGCAGTCCTCCTTTTGAGCATTCTCGTTTAACGGAACGGCACAACCAACCCATGGCAGCAAGCTTAACGTTTTTGAAAGCTCCGTAATTCTTTCATCTCCCTCCAAGCCAATTTGGTTGAGTAAAAGCCATTGAAAACACTTCTCCTCGGAATCAGACGAAAAACAGACGTCTACAATATAGCTTGATTCAGTAAGATCTTCCTCAACAGCATTTTGAAGCATGATCTGTCGTTTTTGCTTCACCATTTCACACATTTCAGGAGCAATTTCTACTTTGAAAATACATTTGACCTCCTCGTCATCATCGATACGTTCATAAACACTGATGTGTTGGATGTTTTTCATAAACAACAAGATAATGGAAGCCTCTTCATGTAACGAGTCAAAAAGCTTGTTGACCTTCTCTTTCGTGTACTCGGTTTGTGAGAGTTTCGACGGATAAGTACGTAGGGGAAAGCGAAAGAGAGTCGATTCATAATTTTCGTAAAAATCAAAATCAAATACTCCCTGGAAAGGTTTAAACTGATCGCGAGTTTTTCCTTTCAGCAAACTTGAGTCGATGACATATTGCTTTCCAGAATGACCGTTTCCAAAACAACGCTTATGTGGATCCAAAAATCCAATTTTATCGCCACTCACGATTGCTGGCAAATCTAACAGATACAAAACGGAATTTAGTTGTTTGTTTTTCCCATTAGCAGAACAAAAGTTAACGTTGTGCTAAACTGCGTGCAAAACACTACGTTCTTGTTTGGTTGGAAGGAATTATGGAACGCAATTTAGAGAAAGTGTTAGTCACGCTATATGTCAGCAACGCTAGGGACGCATTAGAAACCCTAGTATAAACCAGGGCGCTTATTAATTATATTACACAAGCTAGGACGTGTTGGGACGTGTTGGAACGTGACCAAGAAGTCTGGTTTAACTGGTCAACTGGAACACAAAATGAACTCAAATGAAACGTGCTGTGGACGCAATCAAGACCGCGTTGCGGTTTTCTATCTGGTTATTTTCTATCTGAGAATAACGGTAGTTTCAGACATAACATTTTAATATTGATCTCTTTTTTTATGGAAGAATTTAATAAAATCTATATGACAAATCAGATTATATTATGCAAAGAAAAGCATGGTTATATAATGCTGCATTTAATAATTAATACTACAGCATTGCATGGGTATGTGAGTTAATATCCAAAGATTAATTAAACTGAACATTACACATTGGTTCTGGTAACCTAACAATTTATTCATCAAGCTGGCTTGTGTGGTAAGACTTCAGTAGTCATTGTTAATGAGTGAGGTCCAAAACTAAGGCGTTAAATTTGAACATCCCTTACATACTATAGGTGGATATGGCCATTTCCGAGTAAAGACCACTAGATCGAGGCCAACTGCACCCAGACGCGATCTATTCTAAAAGACCACACGAGTCAGAACACGAGTGAACACGAGTGAACACGAGTCAGAACACGAGTGAATACGAGACAACACGAGTGAACACGAGTCAAAAAATTGTGAACACGAGTCAAAAACTGACGAACACGAGTGAACACGAGTCAAAAATGACGAACACGAGTGAACACGAGTGAACGCATTCTTAAAGAGGCTCCCTACAGTTTTAAGCCCGTGATGACGATCTGTACTGTGTAATTGCACGCGGGTTTCTTGGCGGCCCACAGGATGTTGGATTAATAATTATTAATAACAATTGTTATATAGTTAGTGTCAAAGTTCAATTTTTCTGTTTGCCGATTGGTCAAAACCGTGTCACGTTTCTGTCCACAAAACGTCATGTTCGGCAACCGGTCCGCAATATTGATCGGTCAATAATAAAATGGGTGCAATACGCATGCGCGTCAACCATGAAGTTCCAAAGTTCATTTTTTAAACTTTTTACTAAACATTTACGGCGTTCCATTTATCCAGTTTTGGTTTCAAATTAAGTTCACTCCAATAACCGGTGAATTATTCATACTTTGAGTCTTTGACACTTATATACTATATAACAAAACACTTATTTACTGAGACCTCGGGAAAGCAGTGTGTTGTGTGGCCCCTCGAACAACGGCGATCTCGGGTCCACAAAACACACTGTTTCCCTCGGTCTCAGTAAATAAGTGATAATTATTCGCCGAAGGCGAGATGATTATCGGTGAATAAAAACCGAGACGAAGTCGAGGTTTTTATTCACGATAATCACCGAGCCTGAGGTGAATAATTGTTTTAGTATAATTTCATAGGTGAATATTTAGAAAAAAATTTAAAAATACACATTTCTTCGTCATTTAATTGACAAAACGGCTTCGGCCGCCATTTTGAGAATCACTTAGGTGATTATCGCGTAATAATCACGTACCTCAACAGCAGCCAATCAGCGTGGAGAATTTTGAATAATCACCTATGTAATTATACTAATAATAATTAAAATCATAACGAAAACTTTAATAATAATAATAATACTTATAATTATATTAGAATTAATTATTTAACAAATATAAAACATTTTCCGTGTTGATATACAGTTATATCAACACGAGTGGAAATTGGGAAAACGAGAAATTGTGTGGAAACACGACGCCCGAAGGGCCGAGTGTTTTCACACAATTTCGAGTTTTCCCAACTTCCACGAGTGTTGATATAACTATATATCAATACGGAAAAAATGTTTTATATTTGTTTTATAATATAGCAATGTCAAAAGCCCGAAGAATAAGAAAAATTTCCGTGTTACAAGCGGCGGAAAATTTCCCGTGTTGACATGGAGTTATATCAACACGGCTCTTAGCCAATCAGCGTTCAGAATTTACAAATGCTATATTATAAAATTATATAATATATTAATTATTACAACAATTATTATTTAGTAATAATTATTAGTAATTAATTATAATAATAATTATTAATTAATTATTAATAATTATTAGTAATTTTTATTAATTAATAATAATGATATGTAAGTATATAATAAGATGAAAATGATGGTCCATAAGATGAAGCTTTGGTTTTGTTTGTTGTTGCTGACCAAAGTAATGCGGAGTCTTTGACGATTCACCGTTCACATGATCACATCTTGCCACATGGAAAGTTGATGTATATATGTATATATATATATGTATATATATATATATATATATATATATATATATATATATATATATATATATATATATATATATATATATATATATATATATATATATATATATATATATATATATATATAGTGTATTACCGTCCTGACCGCGTAGCTCAGTTGGAAGAGCATTGGGCTAGTATTCCAAAGGTCGTAGGTTCGAATCCCACCGTGGCCGGGCATATTTTTCAAGCTCGCTCGGTGTGGATATACACTCAGAGTAACACCACAAATATCATATT